AGCTGGTTTGCTCACTGATAACTACAAAGCAAGGATAATTCATTGATGCAAAACTTAATTAATATTCAACACAACTTGATTGATTGAATGTTTCATACAGCCTCTAGGCCTAGCCGACGAAGCCGTAGCCTAGCTGGGTGTTAAGTTATTATTTTCTGCTGGGTTGTGTTCTGCCATGACGGATGTTTTCGGAAGTAAACTGAATCATACAGAGATATCAATATTCAACTCTGCCGCATTTATTCAACAACTCGTGTAACATATATTCTCCTTTCACTCATGACCTTTATCAAAGTAAAAGGTCCTGTACAAAACAAAGGAGGGCGCTATATAGGATAACAGTAATCCTGATTATGAGAACACATATCCAACACTCCCACTTGTTCTCATTTTAGTAAACATCTTTAAATTCAACGTTAACATATCAAAACAACTATAACGGATAAAAAAAAATATTCAACTTCCACTTCTTCTTGTGAGATCAACCTTCTTCAAATACAGTATAGATCTTTACCTTGATGCATTTAACAAATCAACATCTCATTGCGGTGTGATGAACTAACTCCCAAACAATAAACACTTGAACTTATTCATTTTTAATTTTGTAGCAGGTTTTGTGAAAATATCTGCAACCATATCTTCTGATGGGCAATACTCAATATCTATTTTGCCCTCATTATGAACATTTCGGATGAAATGATATTTTATATCTACATGTTTGGACCTCTGTCTGTTTACTGGGTTTTTACTCAATGCAATGGCCCCTTGATTGTCTCCAAATATCTTTGTACAATTGTAACCTTTCTTATCCATACCATTCAGTAACTGGGTAAGATATAAGCTCTCTTGAGTAGCGGCTGCTAAACCCATGTATTCAGCCTCACAGGTTGACAGTGCAACTGAAGGCTGTTTTCGAGATTTCCATGATATTACAGGACCCTGCTCCGTTAAGCTAAAACAATACCCGGTAGTACTGCGTCTATCCTCTACAGAGGATGCCCAGTCTGAATCACTAAATGCAATCAAATTTAAACCTTTATCAGATTTCCTGAAACACAATTCATAATTGAGAGTACCTTTCAAGTATCTCAATACATGCTTGGCTGTAACTAAATCTTCTACCTTTGGATTAGATAGATGCTGTGATAACTTGCTGACCACCCAACTAATATCAGGCCTGGTACAAGTCATTGCATAGATTAGGCTACCTATGATTTCACGGTATTTTCTGGGATCAACCGTGTCCTCACTGTTACATTGTAACTTAAGTTCACAGGGAGTGGATCTAGGTTTACAGTCAGACATGTTAAACCTTTCAAGCACTTTCAATATGTACCTCTTTTGGTTCATTTGGACTACACCGTTAATTTGTTTAAAATCAATTCCCAAGAAGTATGAAATTTTTCCCAGATCTTTCATCTTAAATTGACATTGCATAGTCTCCTTGAACTCATTAAGCAACTTACTACTACTGGCTGCTATAATCAAATCATCGACCCAAATAATCACTATAATAATATCATCGCCAATTAGCTTCTTGTATACACAATAGTCGGCTGGGTTTCTTTCAAAATTGTTTCGTTCAAGGTGATCATGCAAGACCCTGTTCCAATTTCTCCCTGCTTGTTTTAGGCCATACAGGGATTTCTTTAATTTACAAACTAATTTCTCTCCTGTTCCTGATTTTATTTCAAAACCCTCGGGTTGTTCTATGAAAATCTCTGCATCAATCGGAGCATGCAAGTACGCAGTTTTAACATCCATCTGGTGGATTTCTAGATCATTTTGTACTGCTAATTGCATCATGACTCGTATGGAAGTGATATTAGCAGTTGGGGCAAACGTTTCTATGTAATCTACACCTTTTATTTGGTGATAACCCTTAGCAACGTATCTAGCTTTGAACGTTTTAGCACCATCAATGTTTTCCTTGATGGTATAAACCTGTCTCTTATACACATCTAGATGTGTATAAGAGACAGCCTTTGATCTTGTTTGGAATTGGTGCCATATAAATTCGTGATATTATTATTATTATTTAAAAATTTATAGTAGCTAACCCAGTGGAGCTAGGTGTTTTTGGTTTACAGTACTTTAGAACCATTTTTTCACTGCAAATAATTTTAAGTGGAATTTACAGTTTGTATAAATAATGCTTGTAGAAAACTACCCTGTAGTATTTTTAATCGCTTTTTGCTGTATGCACTGGAAACTTCTCATTATTTATACTGAACTTATTTGGACAAGCTATACAGAAATAAATAATTTGCAACCAACATTTTAAACATACGCATTTTAATTAAAAGCTTTAATTGTGTAACATAAGTGACTTGACGTCAATCGCTTCAAAATACTGTAATACAAACATCAGGTTGGGTCAGTTGCCATTAAAGTGAAAAGTGCGGTGTATATCAAGGTTTTGTTCTATTACTTCTTTCTATTCAAATCCATTATCTTTTCAGTAAGGTACTTCTTGAACTTTCGTTCTTCAGATTTGAATTCTTCAGTACTTAATTGCATGGTCTTCAGTCGGTCTACATAACACCCTAAAAATGAAAATCAAAAAGTTTTTTAATTAGCGTGAAGTGAATCATGCATTTTTAAAATCATTATAATAGTTCCTCTCATTTTTGTTATATCGTCATTGCGGACTTATACGCTATAAAACTAAAAGAAAATGCATACTTTTTGAGTCCGTACTGAGCCCAAAAAATAAATCTGCAATGAAAATATAACATGTTATAATTAAACAGTATTGTTTTTGGATATATTGCTTCCAATCAAATTATACATTCATAAAAGTCCTAAATGAAGACAGTCAACATATGAAACTCTAGCATGGTCCAGGTCAAACTAAAATTTGACTTTAGATTGAGAGAAAAATTTGAAAATAGTTTAAAAAAATGTTTAAACATTACTATATTTTTAAAATTTAAATTATAAACTAAATGATTTAAAAAAGCTTTTTAGTCGACAATATAAAACAAACAAAAGAAAAGCAAGAAAGAAAAAAGAAAGTTATGGATCGGCTCAGAATATTTTCCAAAAAGGTATTTTTTTATCTGCATGTATGCTTATATATAATTTTAAAAAAAGGTGCTACTGTACAATAACATTCATCCAGCAAAATTACAAATATTTTTGTGCATTTCAAACAAGTAAACAAGAGACAGATAACCACTTGCTTGCGATAAAAACAATTTTGATTTCCCTTATTTTTTTCAAGCACAAGGCTTGCTCTAAGTTACTAAGAGAGATGAGGAAAGCCATAATAAAAATTCTGATCAACAGTATATAGTTTCTTCTTATATACTGTACTACAAATTCAAAATGGACCCTTTAATCATGCAAAAAGTGTCAAACATTGGCCACTAATCGGTCACAGGTAGCTTGTTGTCAACAATCAACTAAAAATGCTTACTTTTAACAGTTTGCACCTTTAATGGTGGTTTTGGAGTAGATTCAGGATAACGTGGGCATATCTTGCCGTCAACAGATCTAGCTTTCAAGACATCACAACCCCATACAGAAACTGCCAAATTTTTCACAAAAATTGAGTTTTTTTTCTGGAGCTGTAACATTTCCCACTTGAAAGTAGGGATAAATATGCCACTGCCAAGGTGAATCTGAAATGAGCAGAAAAAGCACACACAAATGTAACCAAAATGTTCTAAAATTTGTTGCACAAATGTCCCCTGGCCCAGTTAGCACTATCGCTAGGATAACTGGCCCACTTTTCAGGATGCAATAAAATCTGCAAGAGGATGTCCTTCAGTTTCAACATTCTTAGGTGGCCTAGAAACTTGGCCTCCCAGATTTCGAAATTGTTTTCGTCTCCATCGAAAACTAGCCTTCGCCATCGGCTGCTAGAATCACGCCTGGGCCCATAACCTTTTAAGTTATTATTTTCTGCTGGGTTGTGTTCTGCCATGACGGATGTTTTCGGAAGTAAACTGAATCATACAGAGATATCAATATTCAACTCTGCCGCATTTATTCAACAACTCGTGTAACATTATTCTCCTTTCACTCATGACCTTTATCAAAGTAAAAGGTCCTGTACAAAACAAAGGAGGGCGCTATATAGGATAACAGTAATCCTGATTATGAGAACACATATCCAACACTGGGCCAGTAACTACTAGCTGGGTAGGCTAGGCGGTGTCAAATCATTTCGGCCGCCACTCATTTCGGCCGCCAGATTTTGAACAATAGAAAGTATGGCGTATATAACATGTAACAGGACTCCAATTCCTGTTTGTTTTCCCGTAGCGGCAGTTTGATGTAAAGGGGGCGTGACACAAATTAGTGCACTGTGAAATTAACTTTGATTTTCGTATGCTAATATCTTCGGAAGTACAGCACCTATAACCTTCAGATTTTGTGGTGTAGGACATCTTTAACTGTTGATTCCAAATCTGAAATCAGAAAAGTTGTAGCATGTACCATTGCGGAATAGCAATGGTCTAAAAATGGGACGAAAACCTGCCTAGACAACCTTTTTGCATGAAATTACCCAACTCTTGAAAATTTAGTTTATTTCCGATTATGTTGCAATATGTGTAGTTTTCAACATAGTATCTAACCATGAAGGAGCTGAGAACCAAAGCTGAAATTTGGTGTATAAGTAGATCTAATATATCTGGTTAACTGGTGTAAATTTGAGAAAAGATTTTAGCTGTCCACATGACGAACAGTTAATGGGAAACATAGGCCTTTTTTCACTTTTTTTGGGCTGGTCCCAACTTTGAATGGATGCCATTCCATTTTAATTCATTTGATCAGCATGTGCTTGCTTGTGGCTAGAGGCAACTACCCATAGATAATATATCTGTAATTTAAGATGTATACACTCACTCATACGGACAGAGGGTGACATTGAAAATCACAAAAAAAATGCGTCGTTAAACAAAGTGGCTATTTTGAGTGCAGATAACTTCAAAAGAGGAGGGATAACAGTTAATCTGATGCCATATTTGTGTAATATGGTGAAGTTAGAATACCAAGTTTAACCTTGATAGCTATTACCAATCCTGAGTTATAAGCTTCCAAAGTTGGAGGAAATTGCATTTGCGCATCTTGAAGAGCCACGCCCCTTTCTTGGGGCGTCAATATCTCGGAAACTACATATCCAGTAGGGCTAATCTTTTGTGTATGTTGATTTTTCACATAGTGGATCATTTTTAAGAAGTTTCATAAAAATCGGAGACGGTCGACCTGGGATCTCTGGTTGATTTGACACGGAATTACCCATTTTGGTTTATTGCCGTTTTGACTAGAAAGCCACATTCTGATGCTGCATACAGTATTATCCTCCCCATTAAAAAATGTATTGCCCTTTTTATAATTTGCAATGTACCTGTATTACACTCATTTTATGTCTTCTAATTCAACAGAACATGGTAGAGTAGTGGAAAGTAATGAAGTTGAAAAAAAAACAGATAATGATGGACAGAAGTTGATATAATAAGTTATGGTTAGTAGTTGATATCGTTTTAATTCCCTCGTTACCCTGTCAATTGTTGCTCATTAACCAATTGTTTTTTACTGTAACATATTTCATATTTCAAATCTCTGAATTTTCAGATAAGTGTTGGCACATCTTACAGATACGTTTGAAAATCATTTATTCCATCAACCATTGTTGGCTATCAAAGAAGAGAAGCCTGTGCTCACAACTACAGAAGGATGGATCAGCCCTGGTAATACAAATACAAGGTAATTTAAATGTGAATTGTAAACATTAAGCCTAAAGATAAGTCTTGTGGTCAATTCCATAAAACATAATTATTTGGGTTTTTGTGTTGTAGGCCTACAGTAGAGTTTGATTGATTGATACAGTAGCACATAGATACTGTACTACTGTAATGCTCAATGATAAGTAAAATTTTATAATTTTTACATAAAATTTATTATTTTTAAAAGTATTAATGTAAAGCACACACTGTAAAGCACACCTATGTGTGGGCACATAGGGCTCCAGGTAGTATTAATTGTACGTAAAGCACATACTTTGCCAGGGCCTGGTGGCAGGGCACAGATAGAGGTATGAGGTAGAAGCTCCAGTTTGCTCTGGTGACTGACTTTTTTGATGTGTTAACACATGACTGATTTAGGACACATGGTTTGAAGGAGGGTCTATGATCCTGGCAGAAAAAAGCTGATTAATATACTGGACAAAAAAAAAAAAAAAAAAAAAAAAAACCAGAAAAAATTAATTAATAAAAATTATAAAAGTTTTCTAGGAAATTCTTAAATTTAATTGTTTAAATATAAAAATATAAGTAAATATAATAAATATATATATATATATATATATTTTTTTTTTTTTCATATTTTTTGTGGCTGTATATATTTAATTCTTACTTGTTTATAAAAACCAGACTACTTAAAACTTAATTTTTAATTTTGCATATTATTTATTTATTTTTTTTTTATTTCTGTCATCGTATTAATAATGATTTTTTAATTATTTTTAATGGTGGTCATATCTTAAAGTTTGTTTTCAAACTTATTTTGACCACCATCCACATACTTTTTTTTCCATATGAATTATTACAGTACTTCTAATTTATGTATATGTGGAGAAATATTAATAAACAAACAAACAAACAAACCCTTAAGGTCCATTGCCACTGGCTTTGGTCAATAAGTAGAAGTGGTTTGGCGCAGGGTCAGGGTTTCAATCCCCTCGCTGTGTATTTAACTTGTGTCCTTGGGCAAGGCATTTTATCTGCATTGCTTCTCTCTACCCAGGAGTAACAACATGCGCTGATGTATCTGCTGCAGCGTTATAGAATACATTCCCAGGGAGCTGGAGTTTGTGTTCCATAGGCATTAATCCATTGAGGGCCTAACAATATGCTAATATAAGGGCACATAGAAAAAACTATTAGATTATCACTATTTAAAAAAAAAAAAAAATTGATGAGGGTGGGTGTTGTTTTTTTTTAACAGAACAATAGAATATTGCTTTTTTTTATGAGGGAGGGACTGTATTTATTTTCAAGAATATTTACAAGTTTAATTTTATTGTTTTTAAAGAAAATGTATTTCCCGTCACAAAATTGCATTATTTTTTTAAGCTGTTAAAATAACAGCAACAAAAAAAAAAATATTTTTATTCCCGCATCAATATTTCCCAATTTTTTTAACGCGGGTGGGAGTGATAATCTAACAATTTTTCTTTTTGCCCTAAGTCTACTATTATTATTATTTTATTATTATAAGAGCTCACAGCCACTGAAAGCACACTATATCTAGCAATCTATTGTTTTAAAATCAAGTTAAACCATAATTTTTTTTTTAAATAAGTGATATTTCAATTTCTTTTTCAGGAATGTTTCAAAAAGCAACAATATTGTAATCATACAACCATGGCAAGGAGAAAGCTGTAGAAAGCTCCAACTTTAATCGGTACATCACTTAACAAAAGATAATTGACAAGTTAAAAAGTAATTGATCTGTTTTTGTTTTTTAGTTTTCTGCAAAGTGCACATAATTGATTTATTAATATTTTCTAAATTCAGGTTTTTTTTAGATTAAATAAAACAATTGCATTGTAATCATCTATAATCATTTAATTTAATCCTAAATGTATTTATAAATTTGCTCACTATACACAATGTAATTAAAGTGTACAGTAGTAATAATTGCATATTGTTTCTTTATATTATTAATTCATTGTCCAATATGACTTACACTATATATCTTGTTATAACTATAGAGTAAATATAGAATGTAATGTGTATAATTGATTTTTAAATATATTTTCTTAAATTTAAAATATTGCATTAAATGTATTAAAGAAATATATAATTTACACTTACTTTAGATATTAATATGATACATAATTTTTAAATGGTCAAAGTATGTAATAATTGTAACTGTTGGTGGAATTTAATAATAAATGCACAGTAATAAATAATAACAAAAATGTTGTTTCAATTCATTTGGTGATAGAGTAAGTAAGTAGATATTATTATTATGATAACAGTTGGCCAATTAGAATTGAAACCCAGTTGAAAAAGCAGTTGGACCTCATAATCTTTGGAATACCAGTTGAACCAGTTGGAATTGAAACCCATTGAAAACCAGTTGGAAACCCATTTTAGAAAACCCATTGAAAACCAGTTGGACACCCATAGTAGAAAACCCATTGAAAACCAGTCGAAAACCCATTAGAAAACCCATTGAAAACCAGTTGGAAACATATTAAAGGCCGTTGGACCCGTTGAGAGGGTGCGAAAACACGTGTTGGATTTTTTCAATGGGTTTTCAACTGGGTTTTCTCAACGGGTCTCAATGCGAATTTTTACCTGGGTTATAGCCCCAGACCTGCTGGGGCGAGGTAGTGGTCCACCTTTGGTGCTCGAGATATTTTTTAATGGTAGAGTTGCCACCGCATATCTCCCTCATTTTTAAAAAAGCAAGGCCTATCGCGGTTGATGTTAATTGGATTGGATTTGTTCGGTGTAAACACCAAGGATAACCCACGAAAGTCTAGAAGAAGACTTATTTTCAGTGGGGGTAAGTATCATCAATCTTAGGACAATCACAGGCCATAATAGGCATATTATATAGACTTCAGGCCTAAAATGGAATGGGTGGGCTGCCATTTAAAAAAAAAAAAACGTCAGCCCGCCACTGGTCAATAGATAAATAAGGCAATAATAAAACGGTAGAACTTTATAGACTAGTTGAAATATTAATTGTCACAAGCTTTCGTGTACACAGTACACTTCTTCAGGTGAATGATAAGAGGAGCAACATGCAATCAAATATAAAAGGTCTAAAACAAAATTCAAGTAATAATAACAATGGAGGTGTTAACATAACAATGAACAAGCAGAAGGGTGGAACATAGCAATGAGTGAATCATTCCCTGTAGTCGGCAAGAAAGCCATAGTCTTTGTTTAAACCCAAGTTTACACAGTCAAGTCGCTTAATTATTTTCTGTTTACAAATTTCCCTATCTAGATTGTTCTTAAAATTACCCTACAGCAACTCTAAGATAATTGATAGTGTGACCTGTGGAAGTGAAATGTTCAGCTACAGGTTTCTTAATTAACTTGGAAAAAAAAATGGAGTCATGTCAATAAGGTAATATTGATACTGCGTGTCTAGTAATAATATAATTTAAATCGATGAGCGGCAGCCTTTTTATAGGCTACGCCACGTGATCATCGGCAGCGGCGCGCTGTGCATAAGGTAGACTATCGCTGGGCAACACGCTAAGCATTCGTTTATGTAAGTTTTCTATAAGTAATAAAACTGTTCTATATAAGTTACTAATACATTATTTATACGTCCAATACGTTATGAATAGGCTGTGATTGCGCCCAAAGTTGAAAAAAGGCATCGAAGGTTGAGCGTATGCCAGCGTTTTAGAGAAATTTTGATACGTTTGGCGTCCGTACGCTTACTAAATAGTCAAAATGAGACAGGGTTATTGCTCAAATTTCAAAATTCAATTTTCAACTTCAATTTAGTCAGAAAACCTCCGGAAAAGAGAGGATAAAGCAGTAATCCTAAAATAACTTTAAAACAATAGAACAATTTCATTAAAAAGGATAAGTTATTAGGTAGGTAAAGGTTCCTCAATAAGTTGCTCTAAATGTGTCAATATTTAAATTTTAGTGATTTTTTTCCTTTTTTTGAGACTGTTGTATTTGTTTTAATACAATAGAAAAAAAGGAGTGTGCCCTTAATAGTGGTTATTTGACCTTTTGGCATACTCAGAAGGTGTTCCCGTCCACGTAAGGGGTGTCCCCTTAATATGGATTGGCCCAGTGTTAAAAGATATATCGCCTCTCGTTTCACGGAAAGTGTCCCCTTAATAGAGGTGTCCCCTGAATAGGGGTGTCTCAAAGGAGGGGTTCGACTGTAATCTTAATGATGTAAAATTTTAATTTTGTAAAACCTACTTTGAATCCGCAAAGCTTTCCTCTTCAAGATATCTTTACAAAAGGAAAATTGATCAACTGCCGGAATGCAGTTGGCAAACATACCGTACCTAGCCGTGCGCATTACTCAGCGCACGAAGCAATTATAGGCCTATAACAGTCAATTATGCCACAACATCCTACCAGGTACCAATACACTCCCGCCCACCCCCGTCAGTCCCACCGAAATATAAATGGAGGAAAGAGGATTAAAAGCAAGTGTACTCTTGTGTTAAGTGGCGAACCCAGCAGTGGGCGGAAGGAGAGCTCGATTATTTTACCACTAACTAATTTCGAATTTCTATTAATTGACGACGAAAAAAAAAAAAAAAAAAAAAAAAAACGATATATACCAGACGCCGATTTTGTAAAACGATTTCTTAAATCATTAGGTCAAAAAAGCCAGAAAGCTGAGACATAAAACGAGGCTTCTTTAGCCATTATTACAAAATGTAGTATCCATAGAGTAGTTCACGCCTATGCCCTTTCGCGTGGCGGTCCGCAGGGCTACCGACCCTTATTGGCCCTTATGGTCCCCTACCCATAGGATCCTCGCTATATAGCATCCTCTTCCAAAAGAGCTTTGTTGATACATAACAGCATAATATGTCTCTGACATGGACTGTAGGATTAATCCAAGGGGGATGGGGTACCCAGCCGGCCAGGACCCCCCACCCCACCTACATTTGTAAAAGTTTATACTTATTCAGATTTTAAGTCACATCGAGTGCAATTCTAGGGTCTAGAGGTGCTTTAATCATCCTTTTCAACTCCAAGTATACAAGATATGTCATTGATTAGACCTTTGGGACGCCCGTAAGAGGAGGGGTACCAAAGGGAGAGGAACATAGCTCCCGTCGGGAAGAAAATAAATTTGTCGTGGAGGAATGCTGCTTTGAGAAAACATTTTTACCATATGAAAGTGTCATTTGCAAGCGTCTAGAGGGGCCTATTCATAAAATTTGCTCACTTCAGCCCCAACTATGGTGGGCCTGAGGATGGATTTTGTTCTCAATGATGAACAACATAAACTCCGCTCACTATTCATTATAACGGACTTGGTATATTATGTGCATGTAAAAGGTATTGATACATATGGCACAATGTACAGTGATTTACTATGTATAGTATCAACAAAGCTCTTTTGGAAGAGGTGATTTACCATCATTGGCCTGTGTAGCACATAGAGAATATTAAAAAAAAATGACCTATAGTATATTTGATTAAAGACATAAATGGGCGGGAAACACTAACATCTACTTTAACATTTATTGCATCTAGTCTACTGGATACATTTAGTGTGATTATAAATCAATATCTTTTACTATCTGTGACAAAAAAAAAAAAAAAAAAAAAAAAAAAAAATTATGACATTGGCATAAGCGTCGTTGTGTTTATCATTAACGTTATAATTGTCGAAGCAACTGAATCATTATCATCATCATCATCATTAGTTTATAAGTAAAAGTAATTTAGGATCATTAAGCTGGGTCGAGATTGTACAGCTGCTGCAAACATGGTGTTTCTGTAGGCCTATATTTCACAAAATAAGACTTTTTAGCAAGGGTTGCCTAGTTCGAAACTAGCTCCGGCTATATAAATTTGATCATAAGGCTGAAAATAAATAATCTTATTATGTAAGGGATACTGTCTTTACGTTTAAGTAATTTTATTTACAATTTTATTTAATATAAAATTCAAAATAATTAGTAGGCATATTCGTTTTAAAAATTGATTGATATACTTTACGGCCATAACTTAGGCATTACATTACATGTCTGCTTTAGCTCGCACATGCAGGAGAAGAGCTTATCATACCATATCATTTATTTTGCCTTATAACATAACATACAAAAAAACAATACAAAAACACAGGTAGTAATTCAGCAAGGCAGGATTGCCAAAATGTAATAAAAAAAATAAAAATAACAGTGAAAGTGGCTCTCCACACTGAAAAAATACAAACTATTAAAAAAACAGTATTGAAAATAAACAGAAACCGCCGTTATTGTGTAAAAAAAACCATAGGACCTTAATTAATAATATTTTATGTGAAATAAGTAACGTGTGAAAATGATAAATGGTGTAAAAGTAATTGTTTGTAAAGTAATAGATTCTTGATATGGAATCGATTGTTATAAAACCAGTAATCGGTATGATTTTCATACTCAGTAATTAATACTCGTCATGTGATCAATCACAATGTATATTCAATTATTAATTTTGTAATCTATATAATTTGTTTGTGACCGATAAATCATTTGGTGTATTGTCGATAATACGTGAGTTTAGGCAGTGGTTTGTAATTGATTTATAATATGTAAGGCCTACAAAGAAATTCTACATTTGGTTAGTAAGACACGGCATCGTAATGTTTAAAAAACGATTATTAAGGAAGCTAGAAATGATTGCATTCCTTAGTTAAATGTGTGGGCCTATTTACACAAATTCTTCGTTTGTGATCGCAGATTATTGATAGCTTGTCAGTTGTCACTTAAAACTTTTGAAGACTTGTCAAAACACTGAAGACACCCTTTTTCAGACTTGTTATTTTGTTAGCATGCAAATACCTTGAAAACGAAAAAGAACAACAATATAATTAGTAAGCGAAAATAAACTATTTAGAACACGTTCCATAATGCAGCAGATACTAAACTCGGCCGAATATCTGTGAATTACAAGACCGAATAAAACAAGTGTATCGAAAACGGTATTTGTTATTACTATTGCGAAAATTATATATCGTCATCATTAATTCTGTTGTTGATGGTAGTATTTATT